AAGATTTTTTTTATAGAATAAGGGTGTCAAACGAGAACACAGTCCACCTGATAGTAAGTGGATGCTGTGGCCTATAGACATTTACATTTATCCTCAATCAAAAATCAAAATGCAGATGGGTTGTCACCTCTGAGGACTGATATGGAATGCCTCATTTCCAGTAAAAAGGGTCTCCGGTTCTATACTGTCACCAAACGAATCACAGAAGCATTAAGCTGCTATTTTACGCTGGTATTCTGTGATCCTACCCCGGTCGAGCTATCTCATTCGTGCTGCAACCACAATATAGCTGCTGCATGGCATTTGCATGATATACATTTATTGCATTTGTGTGTTATATATACCTAGTCAGGTCATAAATTCTGTCACATGTTTAATATAAAATAATTGAAACAAGTTTATTCATTATGTAACCATTTATATACCAAAATGAACTTAACAAAACATAGATTCTTATGACACTAAAGTTTATTCAAAATGACCTTCGTGATTTTGAATACAGGCCTTCAATCTGCGCGGCCAGTCATCTATCGCAGCACGAACGAGGTCCATGTCAATATCGGCGGCTGCCTTAATCAAGGATGTCTTGAGTGACTCCAAATTGGGATGAGGCTTTGAGCACGCCTTTTCCTCCAAGTGTTGCCATATCTTGTAATCTAACGGATTCAAATCTGGACTGGAGGAGGGCCAGTTTTCGTGCCGGATGAAGTCGATTTCACGCGCCGCCAGCCAGTCTTGTGTGCTCTTCACTCTATGAGCTGGCGCCGAATCTTGTTGGAATACCCAATGCCTGTTATTGAACATGGTATGAGAAACAGGTTCCACAAGGTTCGTCTGGACTGTATTTTGATACACAACTGCATTCGTTTTTACACCTTTCTCACAAAAATGTACCTCTGTTAAGCCCCAATAAGAAACTCCCAACCATACCATGAGCGAGGATGGAAAATGACCTCGTTGGACACGCGGAATACGGTTGCTCGCTTCTTCACTACTGTGTGCGTACACCTTATCATTTTGTTTGTTGTAGCTCTCTTCTACGGTAAAAATTTTTTCATCCGAAAAAAGAATTTCCCGATATTTTTTTCCCGCGTACCGCTTCAACAAAGCGCGGCATCTCTTCAGTCTCAGGTCCATTAGACGAGCATTCAAACGATGTCCTGTTTTTCTTCGATATGCCCGAAACCCTAAGTCTTCATTTAACACCCTTTTCACCGTGGTTCTGCTTAACCCCATCTGAAGGGCCAACAGTTTCTGCTTACGTTTGGGATTTCTTTGAATTCGCAACTTCACAGCTTTTATCACTGGTGGAGTCCTAACAGACCGAGGGCGACCACTTCTTGACCTGTCATCTACACTAGAGTCTTCATTGTATCGTTTGATGGTACGATAAACGAATCTTTTGGTTATATTCAAATTTTTCAGTATGTCAAAAATTTGAATTGGCGCGTAACCGCAACGATGCAACGCAATAACTGCAACGCGGTCTTCTTTAAGCGTCCACACCATATTTAAAAATGAGTAAAATTCTAAAAAGTATACAGTTTTATTTTCATGAACAATTCGAAATTCGAATTCAATAAACTTTTTTGTGGCCAGCATTCTAAAAGAAAAGTTTTTACTGTGTGACAATACTTATGACCTGACTAGGTATTGTTTGAGTGGTATAGTTGTTTGTAGATATTGGAATATTTCTAGGTTACATACTTAGTGCAGCTTTAAGTTTTGTTACAACATTAAAATGCACTAATGTGGAAAATTTTATTGAATTCGAAGAAATGAATTAAAAACAGATTAACACAAGTTGTTGTGCTTTGAAACTGGCCTTTAAATATTTGTTGCAAAAAGCGAAGATGGAACAAGTACAAGATTAAATAAAGAGCTGACACTTTTTGCCTGGAAGGATTCTAAAGAGATTATTATTTGCAAAGTAATCAAAAGAAAATTTTACACCGTGCATCTTTGTAAATAGTTCGGCAATCATCAATTGCAATCCCCATTTGTTTGTCCATAGCGCAAGGTGTGCGGAGATTAGTTATTTTGACATAAAATTACTTGATCTTAAAATATAGAAGGTGTCAATGAAGAGCGGTGTTGCTGGTACAGTGACTTTAATTAGACTATGCTCTAATTCTACATCTATACAAATAAATAAAATTGAAGTGTCTATTTGTAATGTCAAAACAACATCTTTTTACTAAATGCATGTGAAAGTATATACGGTACTTATAACAAAAACACAATTTTTAAATATTTGTCTGTCTGTCTGTCTGTTTATTCCGGCTAATCTCCAACGGCTAGACCGATTCTGACAGGATTTTCACTAGCAGATAGCTGATGTCATAAGGAGTAACTTAGGCTACTTTTATTTTAGAAAAATAATTAGGGTTTTTCGCAAATAAAATTAAAACCCTAAATTACACGCGTGCGAAGTCGCGGGAATAGGTGGCGTAAATACTTTCATATGCATTTAGTAAATAGCTATTATTTTGACATTACAAACACACACTTCAACTTTATTTATTTGTATAGAATAGGTATATAAGTGGTATGGGCTACACTACAATCATGTCGCTAGATAATGATATAGGGCGACCCATGTCAACCCATGAATGTTGTAGGCAGTATTTACTTCATGTGTCACACATATTGTGGCTCTTTATCATCAAAGTACATCTATTAAAAGTGTAAAATATTCAATTTATAAGACTAATTGCATTGAAATATGTTATTTTAATGACTAGTTGATCCCCGCGACTTCGTACACGTCGAAATTATTACAATTGGATTTTATAGGTTTTAATTTTTTTGCGCGGTACCTTAATTCTTTTTCCAAAATAAAAGTAACCTAAGTTACTCCTTAAGACATCAGTTATCTGTCAGTGAAAGACCGATCAAAATCAGTCCAGCCATTTAGGGGATTAGCCGGAACAAAGAGACAGACAAAAAACGTATTGACATAGATTATTGTACGTTCTGAGCTACTTGTAACTGAAATATAAAACTACCAGCTCGCCAGGCAGACGTTGTGCTGCCCTTTCCAACGACCCTTCCTATAAAAATCCTTAAAATCGCAATAAAAAAATTTGACAATCTCTCAAGTTGGACCAAACTGCACACAGTGTGCAAAATTTCATTAAAATTAGTTCAATAGTTTAGGAGTTCAACGCGGACAAACAATGTGACACGAAACTTTTATATACCTAGTCAGGTCATAAGTATTGTCACACAGTAAAAACTTTTCTTTTAGAATGCTGGCCACAAAAAAGTTTATTGAATTCGAATTTCGAATTGTTCATGAAAATAAAACTGTATACTTTTTAGAATTTTACTCATTTTTAAATATGGAGTGGACGCTTAAAGAAGACCGTGTTGCAGTTATTGCGTTGCATCGTTGCGGTTACGCGCCAATTGAAATTTTTAACATACTGAAAAATTTGAATATAACCAAAAGATTCGTTTATCGTACCATCAAACGATACAATGAAAACTCTAGTGTAGATGTCAGGTCAAGAAGTGGTCGCCCTCGGTATGTTAGGACTCCAGCAGTGATAAAAGCTGTGAAGGCGCGAATTCAAAGAAATCCCAAACGTAAGCAGAAACTGTTGGCCCTTCAGATGGGGTTAAGCAGAACCACGGTGAAAAGGGTGTTAAATGAAGAATTAGGGCTTCAGGCATATCGAAGAAAAACAGGACATCGTTTGAATGCTCGTCTAATGGACCTGAGACTGAAGAGATGCCGCGCTTTGTTGAAGCGGTACGCGGGAAAAAAATAACGGAAAATTTTTTTTTCGGATGAAAAATTTTTTACCGTAGAAGAGAGCTACAACAAACAAAATGATAAGGTGTACGCACACAGTAGTGAAGAAGCGAGCAACCGTATTCCGCGTGTCCAACGAGATCATTTTCCATCCTCGCTCATGGTATGGTTGGGAGTTTCTTATTAGGGCTTAACAGAGGTACACTTTTGTGAGAAAGGTGTAAAAACGAATGCAGTTGTGTATCAAAATACAGTCCTGACGAACCTTGTGGAACCTGTTTCTCATACCATGTTCAATAACAGGCACTGGGTATTCCAACAAGATTCGGCGCCAGCTCATAGAGCGAAGAGCACACAAGACTTGCTGGCGGCGCGTGAAATCGACTTCATCCGGCACGAAGACTGGCAAGGCGTGACTGACTGAAAAGGCGTGCTCAAAGCCTCATCCCAATTTGGAGTCACTCAAGACATCCTTGATTAAGACAGCCGCCGATATTGACATGGACCTCGTTCGTGCTGCGATAGACGACAGGCCGCGCAAATTGAAGGCCTGTATTCAACATCACGGAGGTCATTTTGAATAAACTTTAGTGTCATAAGAATCTATGTTTTGTTAAGTTCATTTTGGTATATAAATGGTTACATAATGAATAAACTTGTTTCAATTATTTTATATTTAACATGTGACAGAATTTATGACCTGACTAGCTGACCAGGCAGACGTTGTTCTGCCCTTTCCGAAGACCATGTGTCCTAAAAAATTATTAAATTCATAACTAAAAAAAATTGAGGGTCATCAAAAACTATTCTATCTCTCAAGTTGGACCAAACTGCACACATTGTGAAACGTTTCATTGAAATCAGTTCAGTAGTTTTGGAGTTCATCGCGGACAAACAATGTGACACGTAATTTTTATATATAAAAATAAAGATATAATTTTATACCTATGCCAAATTGCAAGTATCTACGTGAAACACTCAGAGGGTTTACTAGTGGTATCTCTTGCAAGGAAAATTGTAAATATATATTATAACATTGAACGTCAAGTACATGATTCCACACAAAAGATTTACCCCCTTGTGCTCGGAGGAAAACACTCACTCGCACTTTACAATTCACGAAGCTTCGTAACGAGCTCTAGGATCAAAACTTGAGTAAGTGGTGCGTGTACTATACGTACGAGTACGTCACATTTTCAAATATGTTGTTATGTGTTTAATTTTAGTTCTTTTGTTACAGGAGGAAGGTTGGAAATTGAACCGCAACAACTATTATCAAGAGGGTTGGTTGGCTACGGGCAATGTTCGTGGAGTGGTCGGAGTAACGTTCACGTCATCACACGCGCGACGTCCACATGAGTTGCCTCAACGCACTAACTATAACCTACGCGGACACAGATCCGACGTAAGTAGATTATATATTCATTATAGATAAACTCTCACGTCTGCCACCCATACGGCCTTCCGTTCGGCACGATCCCGACGCACCTCTCTCGCTTCTTTCACTTCCATCTAAGTACGCTACTCTTAGGTAAGAGTACTCTGATTTTGATCCACCTTTAATATGTTGCCAATTTGGTCGATAAACTACCATCAGGGACGCCCTACCCTTGCCGACTCTGCCACTCACTTCTGCAGTATAAATTTGCTTTGTTACGAGTACTCTTTCGTTACTCATTATTTCTACGCGTGAAAACCACCGAAGCATTAATCCTGGTCACAACATATTTTTATCAAACCGCAGTTTTCTCCTAACACACAATTTCTCATCCTATTATTTATAGTCACCCCTAACCTTTACACCCTACATCTTTATGACAGAAATTCAAAAACAAATATACTCTCATGCTCATTCTATAACACCCAACCTTCCCTACTATACATTAAGGTAGGGACTAATACATCATTGTGAATTGCTATAACGTGACTTTTTGACCTATTTAGACTTTCCACAATAGAGTGAAGTGAAGTGAATCCATTTAACGACGCAAGTGATTTGATTTATACGTTTTCTATAATGCCTTTGTTATGGAATACTGTTCTATTATAAGATTTTTTTTACAACTAAGAGATAAATGAGCCCACAGTTTCACTAATTGTAATGTCCACCTGTAGTCAACTGTAAACAAAGAAAAATACAGTTTCTCAGTGACCTCCAAGCACTAAGCATAAGTACCTCGTGGCCGGTAATTATAGTTGTTCACTAAGCCTTTAAACTGGAACGTACTGTTGCGTAGCGCGGAGAAACGAGAGAGTGGCACCTATCCAGAGGGTCGGATTTTTATTTTTAAATGAATAAGCTTTTAATAGCTTATCTATAACGTTTAGGATAATAGTTAAAACTAGCTTTTCCCCGCGACTTCGCCCGCGTGTAATTTAGGGTTTTAATTGTATTGCTCAGAACCCTAATTCTTTTTCTCAAATATAAGCAGCCTAAGTTACTCCTTAGAACATCAGCTATCTGCCAGTGAAAGTCCCGTCGAAATCGGTCCAGCCGTTTCGGAGATTAGCCGGAACAAACAGACAGACAGACAGACAGACCGACAGAGAGACGGACAAAAATTTTAAAAATTGTGTTTTTGTTATAAGTACCGTATATACATTCATATGCATTTAGTAAAAAGCTGTTATTTTAACATTACAAACAGACACTTCAATTTTATTTATTTGTATAGATAAGAAAAAAATTGTATATAAATGATATTATAATCGATACATTTTGAGCTTATTTTTTCATTAAATGTTAGATTAACAAGATTTTGAAAGCATAATTTATTAAAATTCATTTTTAGTATCTCTAAGTAAAGTTTGCGATTTTTTTTTATTTTAGTAACTAAATGGAAGGACCCTTTTATTGTCTAGGAGTCAATATGACACTAGGCACCACCCTCACACACATTTCAAGAGTGCTTGCACTGCTGTGTTTCGGTAGGGCCAGAATAATTAGAGACCGTGAGACATTCTAAGGCCCGCCACATATATCCAGAATTCCGATTCGGGATTCCGTTACTATATTCCGATTCGGAATTCCGAACGCAGCAAGTCCATATAAAATCTATGACCCGTCACACACGTACGGTAGTTTTCCGTTCGATATTTTGCGAGCATAACTGGATTCCGTATGCGTGTGGCCGACCCGTTCGAAATTCCGAAAAGGAATCCCGAAACGAAATTCCGTATGTATGTGGCGGGCCTTAGAGGTGAAAATGCAACTGTAGCCTACTTTGATTGAAGTTGGTTGCAGGTGTCTGCAGGTGTCACGGGCCGCAGTAGCCAGATGAACTCTCCTTTGTAACTATAGTATTATGAAAAAAATATTGCATATTTTCATAATAAAATTCAAATAAAACTTTCCGTAGAAATATTTCAAAATTTATCTTAACAGTGCTATAAAGAATACAAAGAGGAGAGGAAAACTCATTAAGGCTTAAATAATTTTCATCAGGGCGTGATACCGGTTAAATTGGATATTCTTTTTAATTATTCAGAGGGAAAAATTAACCCGTCGAATTTACGCCTGCTTACCAACCATTTATTCCACTTTATTATCTTTCGTTAGTATAAGGTACATTTTCTACCTTTTAATAGAATTAGGGTGACAAGCGAACACACAGCCCACCTGATGGTAAGTGGATGCTGTGGTCCATAGACATCTATATCTATCCTCTACTAAGAACCAAAATGCAGATGCGTTGTCACCGGTCTACACTCACCATACGAAACACAGCAGCATTGAGCTGCGATTTTACGGTTGTATTCTGTGAGAGCGTGGTCCTTCCCCGGTCGAGCCGACACATTCGTGCTTAAGCCATAATATACAGGTGACATATGCCATATGACATGCCATAATATACATATATGTAGGTGCACCATGGTTCTACCACGCACCTGCGTACCATGGCTCTACCGCATGCCTACGCACCTACCCTATTATTATTCAAGTTCAAAAATCAAGAAGGTTCTATATTCGGTGCGCACGTTTTTTTATCGCGTACGAGTATGATTACTTATTTACAGAATCGATTTAATTTTTTTTTATTAAATAGTAGGTAGTCGTTTATTAAAAAATAATAGTTAGTACTTCTGGGGTGCCATATAAATTTGAAGACAAAATACTATACCAAATGATGAAAAACAGGGGATAAAATATTAAATGTAACTATTTAGACGACATTCTAGTAGATGAGACAATCTACGGCGAGGACTATATTCAGCAATGGAAGTTTGATAATCTTTGATGATGATGATGATGTGAAATCCGCCAAGATAACGTACGTGTGTGCGTGCGTGCGTTCCTGTGTTTGTGTATGTAGGTAATATATAAAATAATTGGAGGAAGATGAAGAAGGAGAGAAGAATCGCGTTCTCTTGTTCCTACTAGAAACCAGTTTGAAATTCATTATACATAAGTAAATTCGTATGTACCACAACAATATAATGATAATCTTTGATGATGATGATGATGTGAAATCCGCCAAGATAACGTACGTGTGTGCGTGCGTGCGTTCCTGTGTTTGTGTATGTAGGTAATATATAAAATAATTGGAGGAAGATGAAGAAGGAGAGAAGAATCGCGTTCTCTTGTTCCTACTAGAAACCAGTCTGAAATTCATTATACATAAGTAAATTCGTATGTACCACAACAATATAATGATAATCTTTGATGATGATGATGATGTGAAATCCGCCAAGATAACGTACGTGTGTGCGTGCGTGCGTTCCTGTGTTTGTGTATGTAGGTAATATATAAAATAATTGGAGGAAGATGAAGAAGGAGAGAAGAATCGCGTTCTCTTGTTCCTACTAGAAACCAGTCTGAAATTCATTATACATAAGTAAATTCGTATGTACCACAACAATATAATGATAATCTTTGATGATGATGATGATGTGAAATCCGCCAAGATAACGTACGTGTGTGCGTGCGTGCGTTCCTGTGTTTGTGTATGTAGGTAATATATAAAATAATTGGAGGAAGATGAAGAAGGAGAGAAGAATCGCGTTCTCTTGTTCCTACTAGAAACCAGTCTGAAATTCATTATACATAAGTAAATTCGTATGTACCACAACAATATAATAAACGGAATTAATAAAAATCTTCCTGCCACAACTGTGGTGGTGTGGATTTTGATTTTTTGAATTCGGCTTTTACTTTTTGTTAAAAGTATAATTTTCAAAAATGCATTAACACCTATATATGTACGTAGGGCATTTCCGAGAATGGAGAGTTGTTGAGCATTTTTTTTTATAGAAGGGGGCAAACGAGCATGCGGCTCACCTGATGGTAAGTGACTACCACCGCCCATGAACAACCACAACACCAGTGGAATTGCAGATGCGTTGCCGGCCTTTTAGAAAGGTGTAAGCTCTTTTCTTGAAGGTTTCTAAGTCGTATCGGTCCGGAAAATTCGCTGGTGGTAATTGATTCCATAAATTAAGTTGTGCAAGGGAGAAAACTTCTTCTAAATCGCACAGTGGTGGACCGCCAATCATCCAGATGGTATGGATGGTAACGCGAGTTTTGTCGTGATGTGCGATGGTGAAATTGAGCGGCTGGAATTAGTCCGAACAATTCCTCAGAGCACTCCCCATGATAGATGCGATAAAATAAGCAAAGAGATGCAACATCTCTACTCAGTGCCAGTGTATCGAGCCGATCAGAAAGAACTCGGTCGTCGACGATTCGAACCGCTCTGTGCTGGATGCGGTCAAGTGGAAGGAGCTGGCACTGGGGTGCCCCGGCCCAGAGATGAGAACAGTATACCATGTGGAGCCGAATTTGCGCTTTGTAAAGTTGCAAGCGATGTGCCGGCATGAAATACTGTCCCGCTCTGCTGAGCACGCCAAGCTTTTTAGATGCCAATTTGGCCTTCCCTTCCAAGTGACCACGAAATTGCACACTATTCGATACGTCGACGCCAAGGATTCCGATATTAGCTGAGGCAGCAAGGGGAGTGCCTTGAAACTGAGGAGATACGCAATGGCGTAGCGTGCCTTAGCCGGGCCCTATATCAAAATTTATTGGGGGGCCCAAATGAAAGGTAAAGATTTTTCACAAAAGGAACAAAAACGCTCGCATTGATTTAAATAATATATTGAGTATGTCTTAATAGGTCGTCACTCCATCTAGTGGGGGGACGCCCTACACTTCACCTGCCGGTACGAGGCTGCCACTCGAGAACCTTTCTTCACTATTGGTTGTCGGTTCTTCGTATATTGCCGCCCCATTGCCAGTTCAGCATCCTATTTCTTTGGGCTATGTTGGTTACCGTAGTTCTACTGGGGATATCCTCGTTTTTAAGTCTACCACGCAGAGAAACGCCGAGCATAACCCTCTTCATAGCTCGCTGAGTGACTGAGCTTCCTCATATGGCCAGCAGTGAAGGACCACGTCTCTGATTCATA